CGGAACCTGATGCAGCAGGAGAAATACAGAGTGGATTAAGCCAAAGACAGTTCATTGAAATTTGTTTCCTCAAAGTTTCTCATAATTCCTAAGGATGGAGTTGGATATTAACATCCACTTTCTCTTTTTATATTATATATAGCTTATTATCTATAACTAGCCTTAGGGCAACTGTTTAGTAGAGTACGTAGTTCTCATTCCAAATATTAAAGATGGTAGTTCACAGTGAATCTTGGCGATTGTCTGTCTTAGAACCCAAGGTAAAGCACCCTTCACGTTTTTTCAAAGAATAAAAACTAGGCTGTATACCTCAACTCACTAACCCATCAAAATTCTGCTACCCAACATGAGCAAACTCATAAAAATGACTTCCTTTAAGAATACTCAATTAGCATGTCTTACTTCTATCTTAGGAATGGATATCATACTTTCATTTCATTTGCACTGTATCTATTCATGTGTTTATTTTCACCACAAGATTGCAAGGTCCTCATTGGCGGGGATGATATCATCTTTGTACCCCTAGTATCTGGAATAATACTCCAAGCATTTTATTATTGGGAATAAATGTCTTTTAAAAGTACCACTTTTAAAATAAAAGATTTTTAAAATGAAATAATTTTACTAACACATTAGTTAATAGATAGCACCATACCATAGACCAGCCAGTCAGGGGCTAATATAGTGGGAAGAAAGAAGTCCACCTAGAATAAGGAAAAAGTATAAAAGGTCAACTGATTTTTCACTTTGTTTTGAGACATTCCAGGTCATAATGTTTTATGCTTACTGAGACAGCTTACATGATAAGCTGTGACCATTCCTCAGGAAGTTGGAAAGAAATAAATTCTTGTACAAATATCACTCCCAATGGTAGTTGTTCAACATGAGCACATGTATTTGAAATGAAAGCACAGGCCAAGGCCCCTTAGGGAATATAAACAGATATCAACAATGATTCATAGTTACCAAATTAAATGAAAAAGGAGGTGTTTTCTATATGTTTCCTGCAACCCCTGTGTTTTCTTTTGTGCTTGAAAGCAGTTCCAAGCCTTGGCATTGTGACTAAGCTTAAAAAAGAGTTCTCCTGAAAGTGCTCCCCATTTCTCAATAACTAAGAGAAAAAGAGATCAGCCAGTATTTTAGGTTATTCATTCTCATTTTTAACACCAACATAGCTGCTAAGCAACTTTAATGGCAAATATTAGATTTGTTATTTGAAAAAATGAATTTAATTAAAATTGATCAATATAATTCATTGGTCATTTATTAAAAAATGAATGTTCTTTATACCAATTATAAAATCATTCTGAAATTTGGCTAGCACCAGAAGTGGAAAATAATTTTTAATCATTTAGAAATTTAGAGCTGTACCAGACAAGTCACTGATGTGAAATTTAGCAGCCATGAGAAGGTAAATGGGAATTTACTAATAAGCAAACTTTTTTAATCTGATGGATTGGTAAGGCTTGAAAATCATTGTCAATTGTTCTAAGAGTTCATCCAGGTTTCTTAATAACAAGTTTAGGAATTAGGCAAACTGCTCTTTTTTTTTTTTTTAAATCCGAAGTGCATATCTTATATGATATTATTATAATATAAGGTAAAAAATGAAATGAGTTTGGCAAGTAATGAATTAATGCAGTCCTTCTCAGAGCCTTTAATATATTAATGTGGGCTATGACTCTGAGAAGAGGGAGTTATATGTGGCCCAAACTCTTTTGACTATTTTATTAGTTATCTACTGCCACAATAATTCCAGATGGTAAACCACACCAAAACTCAGTGTCTCAGAACAATCATTATTTATTCTTACAGAGCTGAAGTTTGACTGGAACACTTCTGGTTCAAGCAGCAGGCCTGGGAATTTGTGTTTTCTATGCTTCTCTTATCCTCCCTGGCTTAGCAGGCTAACCAGGACATGTTCTTCTTGGACAATGCCAGAGGTACAAAAGAGGCAGTGAAAAGGCAGTAAGTTTCTTAAGTCCTACTGCTAAAATTGTCATACTGTTTCTGTAATCCCTATTCAACTAGACAAAGCAAGTCACATAGCCAAGCCCAAAGTCAAGGAGTGATGAAATATGCTCCATCTGTGATGAGGCCATTGCAAGGAGTGGATCCAAGGAGGGGTTAAAGAGCTAGGACCAATAATTCTCTCACAACAAAACCCTTTGTTTATGGACCATCTCATGGAACTAGCGCTCCACAGGACATGCTTTCGGAAACACTGCAATATCTCACTGCTTTTTATGCAATGCTTATGTTAGTGGGCACAAAATGACATCTGACTAACTTCCTGAGAATTTCTTAATTCAGGCTAATTTCCTGAGATGCTGCAGCCTGAGAGACATTTTAAAACATTATAATCTAAATAGAACCCACTACTAGATTCCTAGCAGAAATTCTTCATGTTAATTGGTCTTTAAAATCCCTTCTGTTGTCAAAACTCAATGAAAATTCAGTTCATAGAATCAATATGGACACAGTGGATTCAGTTTAGAGAGAAATCATTTTCCTAGAGAACCTCAGTCAGGATTCTGTAAAGGATTTTGGAGGGAATCAGATCCTTTGATAGGAGTGGATGATTAAGACTAAGTTCTCAGAGACTGTACTTTGAGGAAGTGCAGAGCCAAAGACCAACTGGGTAGCAGATGATTGCAGAGACAAGTAAAATCCCAGCCCAGGCTAGTGAGGAGCTCAGGAACAGCCTGGGTCCTCAGAAGAAAGCCATGCCAAGTCAGCACAGAGATGTTCCTGAACAATCCCTTAATGAGAAGGAATAGAGATCAGAACCCACTGCGGGCACTCTGCAGTCTATGGTATGTATACGCGTGGAACACAATAAGCCTCATTCTCATCAGCACGTGGGGTCAGTCATTGCACCAATCTCTTTTATTGTTATAAAACCATAATTAATGAGACTCACCAAAAATCCTTGAACCAAATGAAAGTTTTTCTGATAAGCATAGTCAGAAGTCTGTGGCCATAGTAGGACAAAACCAGGTCAGCAGGAACTCTGCCCACAAAGCCACCTCCCAACACATAAATTGCCAGTAAACTGAAGTGCTTTGTCTGACAAACTTCCCAGTTTCCAGCTGAGAAGAAAAGGCAGGGACTTTAGAGGGGTGGGATTTTAACTGGGCATTCTGGCTCCCCTAAACCATGTGACCTCATCAGAAAGCTCAAGGTCCTGCGTGAGAATTGGGTGGGATTCTATTTCCGGTTCAGCCTCTGTTTCACTGTCTATGGTTTACTGTAACTTTTAACCTCAGTTTCTTTATTAGTAAAATGGGATAACACCCATCTTGTGTACCTTCCAATTATTATAAAAATAAAGAAAGTAATGATACTTTTTAAAGTATACATAAAAAGTGGCACTAAAATGTAAGATGAGGCCACATATCCTCCATTGACATCAATGGAAATTGACAAACATAAGCAAGGATGCAATTAGGCCTCATATGCTAATGTTTTCCTAAATAGTGATCTCTAGCACAGGCTTTCTAGCCACCAGTGCCGTATAAAACACAATACAATATATTGGGCTAGGAAAAAAAATGTATTCTTCACTTTTCAATTTGGCAACAACAACAAAATGATATTTATTCATCCTTCATTGAGAGTACATAATTAGATAGAATTTGTCAACATCATCATCCTCATCATTATCAATCACTGGAACAAAGAATTGAAGTAGCAAAAATTGGCATTACCAATATCCCTGTCTTTTTTTAAAATAGATTGCCTACAAGTGAGAACTTCAAGACAAGCCACTCTGAGTTTTCTTTGAAATGACTTAACATTTGGTCACGGATAGAAAAGTTGAACAGGAAAATATACTTCAAGATTTTAACTTGGAAAAAACATGAGGTGTATAAACTCATAGTGGGCTGAATTTTTATATTATCGGAGAACTTGAAAAAGGCTTTTCCACAGGGATATTGTAGAGGGGGTTTAGATAATCAGACTGATAAATGGGTCAGGTGTTTCTTCTTGTTTTTCTTTCCGAAGAGATGGTTTGAAATCTCCCACTTTGAAATCCAAATTCTCTTTAAATTTAATCTCCCATACTCATATCTCCTTGGTTTTTCTGAGATATTTTAGAGATGATGTCTTTTTGCACAAACGCTAACTCTAAGGCGACTTCCAGTTCTGAAATGTATAATCATTAACTCTACACTTGCTTTAAAAATTTTGAAATTTTAACCAATGTCACTAACCTTTCAAGTTTTTCTCGTTTTCCTAACTTAATGTGAAATATAGGACATTTTGCCATGCCACTCTGACTACTCACACTATAGATGAAGGAAGGATTCTGAAAGGTACTATAATGACTATAATTATCATAGGACCACATATTGAGCACTAACTACATGCCAGGCCTGATTTGAGGGCTTTTGCATATGTCAAGCCAGTGAAGCCTCTTAGCATCCCTGGGAGGGAAGTTTTACAATTCTGGTAGTACCAAATGAGCAACTGAGGATTAGAAACATTAAAGAATCTGCCCAAGGTCATATGCCTAACAGTAAAGGATAAAGCTGGGATGGAATGCGGGGCGGGCTGCCTGTCTCCAAAATCGTATGAGGCTCCCTTGGGTGGGAAGTGATCCAACTCCAGCTTCGTCCTTGTCACCTTATTTGCTAAGTAGCCACTAAGGACAGCAGATTTGATCAGGGTGCAAGCATGAAGCTCAAGATCATTATAGCAGTTGTACTGGGTGGATTAAAACTTCGTGAAAACAAAACAAGTTCCTTGGTGGTATTATAGGTTTCTTCTTTCCTCTTTCCTTTCCCCCTGCCCTTCCTTTAAACCTTTGGTACATCAATAAACATTTGATCATATAAAAAGAAGGTCGGGTTTCTATTACTGCTTAGCTGAAAACACCTACAAATGTTCACAGGAACTTTAGAGACTACCGAAGTCAAGAAAAGCACTTGAAAATAAGAAAAAAAAACAAGCTCCGCGAGAGCAGAGATGCCTTCAGATTTTATTCGCGAAGGCACCCCACGCTCCTAGAAAAGAGCATGATGCACCCGATGCTCGGATTGGATGAAGTGACAAAGGTAGCCCCGCTGGTTCGGGCGTTTGGCTGTTCCTGTGTCTTGACTCCCGCTTTGGAAATAGAGGTAGGGCTGGCTCCCAATCGGTCCCAGAGACCCTCCCACTCCTCCCCCCACCTTCCCGCAGCTGGGACCCGCTTCGAGCTGTTTTTGGCCACGCGCGCTTATCGGATAGACCTGCAGTCCCGCAGAGAGGAAGGGCGCCCGGGCCGCCCGCCGCGCGGGGAGGACGCCAGCACCCAGGTGACGTCCCGCGGGCCGCCGCGAGGGGGGCCGGGCTCGGGCGTGGGCGCGCCCCAGGGCCCGTAGGCTGCGAGGCGGGAACGGCCTGGCGCCAGCTCCACCAGTCGCCCCTCCCCGGGGCTGGCTCGCCGGTAGTGTCTGATTATTGGGGGATCCCTCTCCATCCCAGAAGGTACAAAGTTTGGCTCTGTGGAGGCACCTCCGCCACGGAGCGGGGCGGGTGGGTGGCCGGCTAGTTTCGTACTCGGCAAAGAAAATGGAAACACAGGTGGGAAAAGAAAGAGGGAGTGGCTTTCCGGTAAGCAGCGGCCCGGACCGAGACCGCTGGAGCGCGCGGGGCTAGTTCATCCCGGCTCTCCATGGGGACTAAAGAGGCAGAACTAAAGTGGCGAAGGCGAGGAGGCGATCACTGGCTTGTTTGCTAAGAGTTCGGGAAGGCTTTTTTGCACTAGAAAAGACAAATTCAGTTCTTCCTCCAGGTAGATCCCCGTGTCTCCTGTACGCGCCTCCGGACGGACTTCTGTGAAGCCCCCCTTCCCACTTAGTTAACTTAGTTAATATTACTCCTCTGTCACAGGACTCCTGCATGGTCAGGTCATCTGCACTCCTCAATGGCCCTAGGGAAGTTAGCTGTCAGAGAACTGGGGAGGGGGGCAGGAGGTAGCCTAGGCCCTTGCAACTCAGCTGGGGTTTCTGACAGCCTTTGAAAAACTCTTTCTAAAAATGTGCTTCTTGTATTTTTTTAATGAGGCTTTGCCCCAAAGCCTAATATCTTTGTTTGAGGTGGAATCTTCTTATTAAAATGGTCCTGAAGCTACCACTAAAGAATCAGGCATGAACATAAAATCGTCTGGATTTGAGAAATGCGCAGGTATTTCATAGAACTTAGCGCAAATGCGGAGGCAGTCTGTTTTCAATGAATGTTTTCTAACTTCTTAATATTGCATTTTTCTACTTAAATAATAACCTGTTTGTTAGTATAACTTAGTGGGTAGAGATGAGGGGGGAATACTGACTGGCTGGAAATGACTGAATTTGGTTGGTAACCCATTATATGTGTTTCATTTGGATCACAACATCTGTTTAAGGTCACAATTGAATTGGCCTTTTGCAGAGCAGACATGCCCTCACTTATTGTCTTATGGCTGTGACAAGATAATTACAAGGGCAATGTTATTCGACTCTTAGCCTAACATAGACTATTAGACTGCACAAAGCATTCCAATTCCAAGAAAAAAGTTTTTCAAACCTGGGGAATAAAGTACCACCAATGTACAGGCCACTGAATATTTCTGAAATATTAATGTAGATACTTAGACAGAGATTGAATAGGGAAGGAAAAGCCACCAGGCACTTTAAAGAGGAGCCAGGAACAATCCTACAGGTCCAAGATGCTGTGAGAGAACCAGTTTCATTTTTAGTGTCAGCCTGGCTCTCCTCAAAAACTAGAAATAGATTTTGAGGGGAGGTCTGTTATGTATACTGCTAAGTCCAGTGTCTATTTTGAGAGGCGAGCCTGTAGATTTAACCCAAGTCGTGGGCTAAATGCACAAGAGGCAGCAATTATCCTACCAGACACCCAAACTCCCCAGCCTAGCACTTTAGTCCTAGAGTTGGGTGGGCAGGTTGGGGAGCCTCCTCCTTCACAGGACCTTTGGATGCCCATTAGACCTATGGTCCAGGACTGTCCAGTCAGAGGTCCTAGATGCCCTGCAAGGGACAGTCACAGCTTCCACTCCACAGGGATGGAAAATGCCCCTGTGCCTTCAAGATGCCGGGATGCCTCTGCCTTCCGCAGTGACACCCCCTCACCCAGCATGACTCCTCTTAATACAACCAAGAAAAAAAAAACCCAAGCCATCACTTATTCAGTCTCCAATTTACTCACCTCCAATCCCTTATGTATTTATTTTTAACATTCTGATTCTAAAACGTGAAATGAAATAAATACCGGTGGGGAAAATAGAGCAAAGTTGGAAATGAGAAGAAGAACCTTCCTCATGCCTCAGGGCTGAAGAAAAGAAAAACACTTTTGTCAAGAGCCTGCTCTGTTTTAGGCAATGTTCGGATGCTTCATTTCATTAAATCTTCACAATAACTGTGTAGAGAGTATTATTCCCATCTCACCTATGGGGAGACTGAGGCTCAGACAGGTTGGTGACTACCTAAAGTCACACTGCTAAAAATGACAGAGCTAAGATTAGGCCCAAATTTGTCAAATTCTTCTAGGAAGGCAAGTATGCTTTGCTGGTGAGGGCTGTCAGGGAAAGCCCAAGCAGCTCTGTCCTCCAGCTCCATCTGTCTTCCAGCTTCCCTGAGGAGGATGAGCTGAGGCTGAATCTGCCAGAAGCTGTGCCTGGAGAGCATGTGTTCACCGCTAAGGTCTCCTACGGAGATCCTGGGCCCCACAGGTTGCTCTGCTCCCCTCTTTTCCCCACTCTTTATCTCCATGCCTGCACCTTCTCACTCCTCTGACCCCAAACTGTTTGATGCTACAATTCCAGAATCATTGGCATATGCCCTTTCTCTCCCTAGGGTTACCACCCTTTCACCACATGCCTGGGTTTCTCCTTTCTGTCCCATCCCAACATTATTGGGAATGTCATAAAGACGCCTCCAAATAAAGCAGGAGATGCATATCTAAGGACATGCTAGATGTGGCTCCAAGGTGTGAAGAACCGAGGGCCTGGAGCTTCCAAGCCGCTGATGCCCTGATCAGGGTGGGAAGGAGGAGAGGTGGATGCTGAGGCCTTGGGCAGGGCCCAGTATTGGGGCTCCTCTATCTTGGTGAAGGGCAGGAAGACAAGGAAAAAAAATGTAGAGAGACAGAGAGAAGAGGAGACAGAATTATGCAAATGGCTTTTATCCAGGGAAAAGTTTATGATTATAGAAAAGTTTTTAAAAATTAGATTGATTGTGTAAAATTAATGCTGATGAAATGACAGTCTTTTGTAAATTCTGTATGACTTACAGCTAACTGCCACGCAGCTCAGTAACAATTGTGCATTTCATTAAATACAGTTCCAAATAAGTTCACCGTACATTTTACTTAATTAACATACATTTTTAAATCTTTCTATACTCTCAGGACTAATAAAGTTTCTCTTGAATACTAGCTTCTGGCATGATTATCAGATCATCATTGAGGTAAATAAATACACGCACACACATACAGGGTAAATAATGTGTTTATCCTATGACTCTAACATTCAGAGAGACATAGATGGAAATCACGCTTTATGAGAAAAAGCTTTATCTTTGGGATTTGTATTAAGCATGTAAAATATTGGCAAAGTTTTTACTGGCTGAACTCAAGTCTGATACATTTAGTAGCTCATTACTCCAATTTTAATGTAGGGTTGCAGAACACTGAAGTCTCATAACCTGGGTCCTACCTTGTTCTAAATATACCTGACATCCCACACCTTCTAAATAATTGAGCTAATTCATTTACAATGCTCTGCTCAATTTCAGTAAGATGGAATTTAGTTTTTGTTTTGTTGTTTAAAGCCAATGAACTTGCAAATGTATTTGGTTGAAAATGCCTTTTAATCTTAGAAATGAAAAAAAAGATTATGTATTGCTACTTAAAAAATCTAGGTGAATTTTTTTCTCCAACTAAAATTCTTCAGAAATTTAAAAGAAGCTGCTGTCTTTGAGGGAGATTATTTCACAGAACACACATAAAAACATTTTTTAAATAAAAATGTTATAAAATTGTGAACTATTAAGGCATTTATTCCGTAAATTCTGCCTAAAATATTTTATATTTCCAAAAAGTGGAAGGGGAGTACAGTTTGTTCTTTATAGAGAGCCTCTATATCAGAGACATATGTAATGTTCTCGAAATATTTCTTGATTCTTTCAAGCAGCAGTGATGACTTATTAAACAAGGTCTATGTAGCTCTACAGGAGCAGTTTGGGACCCTAAAGAGAGAGGAAACATTTCAGGGGGACCATTGTTCCCATTGTCTTCTCAGGGTAGAGGTCAAAGGTCAAAACATAATTTTAGAGCCTGACACAACTGGGTTTAATTTTTGGCCCTACCACTCACTTACAGAGGAACCTGAGCAATATCCTTACCCTCTTAGCCTCAGTATTTTCTTTGGCAAAGTGAAGATAATACTAGTATTTGCCTTTGATCTGACTGTGAATTTTGAGTGAGGTAATGTACATAAGGTACTTAATACAGTATCTGGCACATTACAAACATTCTATAAATCTTGCTTAAAATTGGCACTTTACCTCTTTATCTTAGTTTTAATGTCTTCCTTCATGAAAATCTAGGCAATATTTTTTTAATTTGATATTTTTTTAAATTTGATTTTGATTTGATTTTAATTTAATTTGATTTTAATTTAATATTTTTTAATTTGATTAATAATTTTTTAATTTATTTTTTTAATTTAATATATTTTTTTAAATCTGAGGCTCAAGTTATCCTCCTGGTGGGTAGTAATTTTAAACCTGTGATGTATTTCATATGATCTTAGACCCTCTTTCAGCCATTTGAAATGCTTTTTTTTAACCTGTGTTTAATATTTATTTTTCTCGTAGGAGTCATAGGTGTTTTCGTGAATATGACTATCTACATGCATGTGGGTAAACATCCATTTAGCTCATGGAGACATTCAAGCTGGTCTCTTAATTGACTCATAAAGGCCTTGAGAAGCTAACATTAGTCATAAATAAATACTACCTGATGGCCATTCTGGAAGAGAAACCTAGTGTGCCATTCATTATATGGAAAAAGGTATACGCCTGCTGGTAGCAACGTATGCCCAATAACAATCAACTGTTAGAAGATGCATGTAAAAAAGATG